AGTTCCTCTTCACTTTCTGCCATAAGGGTGGTGTCATCTGCATATCTGAGGTTATTGATATTTCTCCCAGCAGTCTTGATTCCAGCTTGTGCTTCATCCAGTCCAGCATTTCTCATGACAGACTCTGCATATAAGTTAAATAATCAGGGTGACAATATACAGCCTTGACATCCTCCTTTCCTGATATGGAACCAGTCTGTTGTTCCACGTCCAGTTCTAACAGTTGCTTCTTGACCTGCATACAGATTTCTCAGGAGGCAGGTCAGGTGGTCTCGTATTCCCAACTGTTGAAGAATTTTCCACAGTTTGTGGTGATCCACATAGTCAAAAGCTTTGGCATAGTCAATAAAGCAGAAATAGATGTTTTTCTGGAACTCTCTCACTTTTTCGATGATCCAGCGGATGTTGGCAATTTGATCTCTGGTTACTCTGCCTTTTCTAAAACCAGATTGAACATCTGGAAGTTTACGGTTCACGTATTACTGAAGCCTGGCTTGGAGAATTTTGAGCATTACTTTACTAGCGTGTGATATGAGTGCAATTGTGCAGTAGTTTGAGCATCCTTTGGGATTGCCTTTCTTTGGGATTGGAATGAAAACTGACCTTTTTCAGTCCTGTGGCCACTGCTGAGTTTTCCAAGTTTGCTGGCATATAGAGTGCAGCACTTTCACAGCATCATCTTTCAGGATTTGAAATAGCTCAACTGGAATTCCATCATCTCCACTAGCTTTATTCATAGTGATGCTTCCTAAGGCCCACTTGACTTTACATTCCAGGATGTCTGGCTCTAGGTGTGTGATCACACCATTGTGATTATCTGGGTCATGAAGGTCTTTTTTGTATAGTTTTTCTGTGTATTCTTGCCACCTGTTCTTCATATCTTCTGCTTCAGTTAGGTCCATACCATTTCTGTCTTTTATTGTGCTCATCTTTGCATGAAATGATCCCTTGGTATCTCTAATTTCCTTGAAGAGATCTCTAGTCTTTCCCATTCTAATGTTTTCCTCTGTTTCTTTGCATCAATCACTGAGGAAGGCTTTCTTATATCTCCTTGCCATTCTGTG